AATAAATTAATTTTTCTTCATTATCCTATATTTTCTTCATACCTAAACTCTACCAATTTTTTTCTCTCATAAACTTTACAATCTTCCTCTAAAAATTCAAAATAATATTATTTTTACTTCATTATTGCTTGTTTATTTTTATTTTTTATTTGTTTCCACGAACTTTTAATTTATCCATAACTTCTAAACTTTCTCTTTGAACTTTTCTCTCTAAATACATGAACAAGGCAAAATTTTCATCTTTCACCGTCAAATTTTACAATATGTTTCATAATATTCATATAAATACTTATATATTTTGATTTTTTTATATTTATATTCGTAATATATTTTTTAACACAGGTTACAGCGAATAGTGAACTAGTGTTCACAACAGCAATTTGGGGCTACAAATAGTAGCACCTTGTTGCTGTTCGCTATCCAAAATTGCTATTGCAAATAATAGCTCTTTTCTTTATGCCTAGTAATATATAAAGTATAATTTTTTTTATATATATTACTAATATTATATTTAATTATTTTTTTAATTTTATGCAACTAGTAATTATATTTTTAAATATTTTATCTGAACAATTCTGTTACTATAAATTTTAGTGTTCAATATTGTTATGAAATAGTTTGTAATGATGTATTCAATTTAGAATTTCAATGACTTTTGTAGACTTTTTAAAATAAAAAAGTCGATAAAAGTTTATGAATATTTTTTATATAGACTTTTATAGAGTCTTACAAATTTTTAAAAAGTTTTGAACGACTCTATGAAAGTCAATTAAAATTTATTAAAATCTATCATTTTAAAATTTTTTAAAAGTCTACAAAAGTCATGATTGAATACACCCCCTTAGTAGCCAAAGTACCCATATCCATGTGATGGAGGAAGAAAGAGATAAAAACAAAGAAGGAAAACAACACTCTTCAAAGAAAGAATCTTGTATCTAGTAGTCTTCTAAACAAACATGATTTCAAATTAGTTTTTGAGTCAAATAAATTTGTACTGTCAAAGGGTGGCCTGGTTCGCAATGCAAAGTGGACCCTGGTCCATGGTACTATAACAATCGATATGATCTCTATCAGGTCTATATCGAACTTGTATAAATGTAATTTTGATGTGGAGATGGTTGAGTTGGCCTAAGGTGCTAGATTTAGGTTCTAGTTTGAAAGGGCGTGGGTTCAAATACCACTTTCCACATTAACAAAGATATATATCCATTTAGCTGGACTTTTTGTCTTAAATTTGTTTTTTTTTTTTTGGGTGTACCCACGGTTTCCACTGTCGAACACAATGTGTTAGTGTTTAAATTTTGTAAACCCCAACTTGTAATTGACAAATTATTATGGCAAAACTAAATAGGTCAAGTTGTGTGTGTTACAATCACTGAGTGATGATCTTGCGGAACAGTCACTACGCTAGTCGGGTTTTGGAAATTAGCAGCTGATTTCGCAGCCTTTATGACCAGCAATGCAGTTACCGTATTGATGGTTTTAGAAACCGTTCTTGATGAAGTCTGAATTGCCAAAAAGGAAATATGGCAAGTAATCTTGGTCTACAAGGAAACCCTAGAAAATTACTTGTCATCCAAGACTCAAAGTATTATATATACTAGTTGTTTTCAAGGGAAAAAGAGTGAGAGAGAGAAAAAAGAGAGGTGGTTTACAAGAAATATCCTTCAAGATTTAAATATCAAGAAACTCTCTCTCCATGAGTTACAAAGAAAATACTTGAGTTATCATCTTCTCAAGACACTATTGATGATCTGAGTTTAAGAAGACTCTTGAGGAGAAGTTCTACAAAGCTTAAATCAGCGGACCGTATTCCATACAACTGTGGTGCAGTGGTGAGTAGGTCAGCGAGACGGACAACGACAACACGGATCTCCAAAGGGACTTTGGACGCTGAAGCACGGATCTCCGAGCTCGACAATCCTCTATAGCTTTCAAAAGATTGGTATTACCGTGTGGTGTGTAGCACACATTGGGTGAGAAGGTTTTCTCTTACCGTTTGTTTGATTTGCTGTTGAGATAGTGGATTGGACTCACTGATGGTGGTTGTAACACCCCCGATTTCCATACTAATTTAAACCTTAATCATGCAGATAATCTAACCATAAAAGCATACACAGCGGAAGACTAAATATGAAATAGATGGAAAACGTAGTGTGTTATGCCACGTCCACACAACGGTTAACGCATAGGCGTAAACAACTGCAACATAATCTGTCTATCAAGGAACAAGGTCAACAACACAAGTCTAAAGTCTATCAAAGGCACACAGGCCAAAACAACTACACGGTTTGAGGGAGCTACTCTATCCATCTCTAGACCGCACTCGTCTCTACTCGGCACTTGAAAGAAACACATAAATATATGCGACGACGCCCGGTCAGCGAATGATGCTGGTAACCCACCAATACATGTGAAATATAATACATAGATAAGATATATATATACAAAATCATTTGCGAAACGGAATGTAGTATATATATAAGTTCAAATCCAAGAGTAGAAGTCAAACACAAGACTCTATGCACTCACAACAAAGATAATGGAACACATCCCAAGACACCAAGAAATACAACGACACACAAGAACGGCTCAAGGCGTATTCTACCATCACTCAGTAGAATAGCACCCGATATGCATAACACAAGAGAACAAGAGACACACATTGGCAACACATGCCTTCGCGACATCACTCGTCACGAATTAGGAATCACACAATGGCAACACATGCCTTCGTGACATCACCCATCACGAATTGAGATTCCTTCCTTATGTCCGGTACCAACCTTATGGCTACCCCCGACCTTATATCTAGTTCCAACCTTATTCCTCGAGGACCGTCGTCCCCACTCTAACAGTCTCCAACAATACCACCGATTTCATAGTACACGAGGGTACCGAACACACACGGCAACACACTACTACAGAACAGGTCATAGGTATCCAAGCAAATGGACAATAAGAGTCCAAAGTTGCTTGGACGCCTATGCAGGAGACGCTGATTGTCTATGACAATCAGCGTCCAAAGTTACTTGGACGCCTAAAACTACAATAGGAGTCCAAAGTTCGTTGACTTTGGACGGCTATTGTATTTTTTTTTTAAATTACCTTTAGGCGTCCAAAGTTTATGAAACTTTGGACGCCTAAAGTATTTTTTTTAAAAATATAATAGGCGTCCAAAGTCAACAAACTTTGGACTCCTATTATATATATATATATATATATATATATATATATATATATATATATATATATATACATATATATATATATATATATTATATTTTATATTTTATATTTTATATTTATTTGATAAAATTTCCAGTTTTTTCCTGTACAAAACTATCATTCACAACCTGTACATGCAGCCACAACCACTATACTGCGACTTCAAAGCATTGAACTAAACTTCATCAATACATTCACAACATATATATATGTAAACTAAATTAAACTTCAATACACATATACTATTACCAACACTTTAGCACTAAGCAAACTAAATACATTCACAACATATATATATATATATATATATATATATATATATATATATATATATATATATATATATATATATATATATATATATATATATATATATATATATATATATATATATATATATGTAAACTAAACTTCAATATATTCAATTCACAACATACATCAACACTTCAAAGGTTTAAACACAAAGTAAACTAAACTTCATTACTAACACTTTAGCACTTTAATGCCAAAATCCACAACACTTCAAAGTTCTCAACAAAAAAGTAAACTAAACTTCATTACCAACACTTCAATGTATAAATTCACAACACTTCTAAGTTCTGAATAATTCAAATGAAAGTTCTCAACATTTCAAAGTTATATGCATTCTTCAATAAAATATTTAGACCAAACCTCACAAATCTCATCAATTTGCTCTTGTGAGTAAGGCTTTGCATCAAATGCCTACAAAAATTTAAAATAATCAATTAATTAGTTTCACATTAATAAAGTATAATTTAAAACTATTTAGTTTTAATAAATTTTACATACCGTGTCTAAATGTTCAAAATCAGAATATAGAGTGCATATCTCATACATGTATCTCATCAGATAATATCCGCGCTCCACACCACCCGGTTGTTGAGGAGACTACAAAATATGAGTATATATATATATATATATATATATATATATATATATATATATATATATATATATATATATATATATTATTAAGTTAAACAATAAAAATATTACTAATAAAATTGTAAAAAATATTAAATTTTGTTTTTGATATATACCTCAATTTCATCCCAAGCAACGTTGTTTTTAGGTCTTCCCCCCTCCTAAATTTACAACCGATCGAAATACCCTTTAATATACATTCATAAATAATTTATAAACTATAATGAATAATAATTCTCAATATATATATATATATATATATATATATATATATATATATAACATATGTATATATATATATACATATATATATATATATATATATATATATATATATATAAAACATATGTATATATATATATATATATATATATATATATATATATGTATATATATATATATGTATACATACATATATATGTGATATACATATATATATACATATATATATATATATATATATATATATATATATATATATATATATATATATATATATATATATATATATACTTACTTACACATTTAATGCGGGCTTAATCTCCAACTCGCGCTTACATGCACGAGAGTCTAATACATAGACTTTTATTGATTAAACACAAATCACTAGAAGTATCCAATGATTTCTACAACATTTAAATAAATATGTTAAACGTTATTTACAAATAATTTAATTACGTTATATAAATAATTAAAATTTAAAATTTTAAATTTAGTTTTCTTACTCTTGATGGTATGGTGCTAAAATGAATTTTCGATCCTTCAATTGATCCAGGGCATGCAAAAGATATTGTGTGACCTCATCAGAATTCTTAACTATATTGTCTCTAGAAGTAGTCCTTGGAAAGAGAAATCCAATTGTCGTCACTCCAATTCTGTTGCACATCCGATGAAGACATCTACAACGTAGATAATTAATAAAAATGAAAGACTAAAGAAAAGTTTGTAAATATAAAAACATTATAAAAAATACTTACAACATAAATATTTGTATTATGGTCACATCAAGCCATTGTATCGTGAACATGTCTTTAATATCTTCAAACAACACGTGAATGAACTCCACATGTGAATGATGGAAGATTGCCTTCTCTAGGTCCACGTCAATGTAATCTAAATTGGACGGCAAGTATTTAAGATGTCTGGCCAATTTTTTGGATTCATCTCCCAAGTGCTGCAGTGTATCATCATCAACAAGAAGTGGTCGTAATTCTACAGTAGATTGATCCCCACTTTCAAAATTCATCATTGTTGTTTGTTTTGGATTTTCCTATAAATCAAAAATTAAAAGGCTTAATAAAAAGTAGAAGATATTCAAATCGAACAAAATATTAAAGATATTCAATATTACCTGAACGTTGTTTAATGGATCAATAGAATGACAACTGCTCCGAATTGGTGTGCCAACCTTTGGAATTGCTTGTGCATTCTTGATCATATTTTCTAGCTGAGACTGCATTATTTCTAACTTAGATTGCATATCTTCCATTGTTTGTTTTCTAATCTTTTCAGCCACTTTCTCATAAATTTTCTTCTCCACAATCTCCTCAAGATCACTAACTGAAACAACCCCAACTGATTTCCCACGACTTATGCTATCCGGTTTACCAAACACATCCCGGATTTTGGCGTGCACTCCAACACCTCTCACATAGCCACCGTACTCATTGGTGCCAAGAGCTGATGTCAATATATCATTTTGTCTGTTTGGTTGGAATGAGCCTTGACTTATCTCTTCACACTTCTCGACCTATTTCAACACGAACAAGATTTAAAATTTACATGTTAACTAACATTCTCATCAATAATATATATATTTAAAGTATTTGTATTACTTACATTTCTATCAAACACTCCCTTTGTTTTTTCGTTGGGAATGTAATAACTTCCATCTTCAGAATTTTTAGATCGCGCTTGAACCCAATCCAAACTACGATCATTAGATGCTATGGTCGATGTAATAGCAGCACAAGAAGACTGTGAAGACAATGGGTCGCATATCATCCACTCAGCTTGCATTCCAACATAGCCCCTATGTCCTAAAAAGTGGGGATGCTCATTTCGCGCTTGCAACTCCCTAAACTTTTGACTTTTGGCCTAAAAATAAAATTTATTATTAAATAGTAGGTTAATACTAATAAAGCATTTAAGACTAATAATAAAACATGATTAGTAAGCAAGTAAATTATGTAGTGTACCTTGAAATCTTCAGTTTGATGATTTTCTACAAATTTCTGCAATTGTTGTTCAGTCAAGAAGCTATATAACTCTACGGGAGAGCTATATATACGGTGCTTTTTGTTGATGAATTCACGCACCAATCTTGATTTGAAATCTTTCCAACATTTCCTCGCATGCTCCAAAATATTACATTTTTCTTCATCAGAGATATTAAACTCTTTCTGAATAACAACAATAAAATAACAAATAATTAGACCTTTCTAAACATTAACATATATAAAATGAAATAAAATTATTGTCCATGAAATAAAATTACCTTAAGATCATACCAAACCGTTTCTTTAACCCCGCTTGAGACTTGAGACCATTTATCAATGTTAATGTCTATGTGAGTACGAACCAAAATGCCAAGGTAATTTGAGTACGAACCAAAATACCAAAATGCCTATACAGGTTATCGAACTCAATTAACATAGTCACATCATCTGGCTTCTTCTTTTTCATTTTATTGCAAGTTGTAGCTCCTCTTACTTTACGCACTTTGTTAGACTCTGTTTGCCTTGAAGGCTCCTCTACCATTGGATCTGTGTGATCGTCGGCCCCGGCCATGAATTTGTATACTTGCACATGCATAAGATAACTATGTTAAAAAGAACATCTTATAAAATATAAACATGTTATAAAAAAAATAATAAGATTACATTTTAGAAATTATACTGTCGGATGGTCAATCCACAATCCTTCTTCATGATCAGTACGCATGTAATTAGTATCAATGTTATCTTCACCTAAAGCCATAGGTTGAATACCAATAGAAAATGGTGGGGTTTCATCTAATTGGTCATATTCCTCTTCATCCACAACATCACTAACACCAACAATACTTCTTTTGCCTTGTAAGACAATTGGCCACTTACTATCAATAGGATCAGAAACATAGAAGACTTGTTTAGCTTGAAATGCAAGTATAAACGGTTCATCATGATATCCTTGTCGACCAAAATCAACTAAGGTAAAACCCAAATCATCTACACGAACACCCCGCCTGTTATCAACCCAAGAACATCGGAATAGAGGAATCCTAAACACCTTATAATCAAGTTTTTTCCCAGATTTCATCAATGACTCCATAGTATGACATAGTAGCATCTACCAGGTTAGTATCTTTAGCACTAGAATACTCTCTTGATTGTGCTACTAATGTCACTCCACTATTTTGCACTATACTTTTTTGATCTTGACGTTTTGTGTAAAACGTATACCCATTAATATCATATCCCTCATAAGTGCTCACAACTAATCCAGGGCCATACGCTAACCACCTAATGGTTTCAGTGATATTATTTGGCACTTGAGATAACTCTTGCATCACTGTATCTTTGAACCATGTGATAAATGTACAATTGTGTTCTTTTGTCACCCACATTTCACCCTTAGAAGGATTTTGTTGCCTTATAATAGACAAGTGTTGTTCCAAATATGGATGAACCTCAGAAAGGTGCTGCAGTACGAGATAATGTGCTTGATTTCGGATTATTTGACTTGGGACATGTGTTTTAAACCCAATGGTACCTTTTCCTGTGAGTCTTCCCTCATGACGTAATTTAGAAACACCAATGGATTGAACATTAACCAAATAATCAGTACAGAAATCAATGACTTCTTCAGCGCCATAAGCTTCAATTATACTCCCTTCTGGCCGATATCGATTTCTAACATATCCTTTCAAAATTCCCATGTATCTCTCAAATGGATACATATACCTCAAGAATACAGGACCACACATTTTAATTTCCCACACCAAGTGAACTGTTAAATGCACCATAACATCAAAAAATGATGGGGGGAAATACAATTCAAACTGGCATAAAGTTATTACCACCTCAGCTTGCAAAGAATCCAACACCTCAGGATCAAGAACTTTACTACTAATGGCATTGAAAAAGTAGCAAAGCTTTGTAATAGCTTGTCTAACAAGGTTAGGTAATATGCCTCTAATAGCAATAGGTAACATATGTTGCATTAGCACATGGCAATCATGTGATTTCATACCAACTTATTTAAGGTCCTTCATTGAAACAAGCTTTTTAATGTTAGATGAATAGCCAGAAGGAACCTTGACACCATTTAGACAAATACAAAAACTTGTTTTTTCCTTTTTAGAAAGAGTATAACAAGCTGGAGGTAAGTATGCCCTCTTTCCTAATTCTTGTGGTGCTAATTGAGTCCTTATCCCCATTTCTACCATATCTTTTCTAGCTTTAATACCATCTTTCGTCTTACGTTGAATATTCAACAATGTCCCGATAATGCTATCACAAATATTTTTCTCCACATGCATTACATCAAGACAATGTCGAACAGATAAATGCTCCCAATATGGTAAATCCCATAATATAGACCTCTTTTTCCAAATACCCTTTTGACTTGTTTTTGAAGTTTTTCCCCACACATTATCAATGTTTTTGACTCTTTCATAAACAACATCCGCTGATAATGGTAAGCGAGCAACTCCAGTCTCAGATTTTCCATTGAAAGCTTTTTTCCTCTTTCGATAAGGATGGTCAATAGGTAAAAAGGTTCGATGACTTATGAACACAGTTTTCCTACTGTTGTTCAACCAAAGATCAACTGTTTCTTCTTCACAAACAGGGCATGCCTTAGCCCCTTTAGTAGTATGCCCTGACAAGTTACCATATGCTGGGGAGTCATTGATTGTGCAGAACAACATGGCTCGTAAAGTGAAGTTGGTTTGACTATGAGCATCAAATACTGTCACACCTTCATTCCACAACATCTTTAAATCTTCAATAAGCGGTGCCAAGTACACATCTATGTCGTTTCCTGGTTGTTTAGGACCAGATATTAACAATGATGACATGATGTACTTGCGCTTCATACACAGCCACGGAGGAAGATTGTAAACTGTTAAAAGAACTGGCCAAGTGCTATGGCGACTGCTCATGTTACCATGAGGATTCATTCCATACGTGCATAGTCCAAGCCTAAGATTTCGATTTTCAGCACCAAAATCAGGAAACTTCTTATTAATGTTCTTCCACTGAGGAGAATCGGCAGGATGTCTCAACTTTCCATCTTCTTTTCTCCCACTAGCATGCCATTGCAAATTCTTCGCATCCTTTGCATTTGCAAACAAACGTTTGAATCTTGGAATCACTGGTAGATACCACAACAACTTCGCTGGAGAACCTTTCTTCTGGTCACATGCATCATCAAGCCCTTTTCGTTTATAACGTGATGCTCCACACTTCGGACACACCTGCATGTCTTTGTATTGATTCCAATACAAAATACAATCATTTGGACATGCATGGATTCTTTCAATCTCCATACTCAACGGACATAACATTTTCTTTGCTTCATAAGTTGAACAAGGAAGTTCATTCTCATTAGGAAGCATGCCCTTTAAAAGCTCTAATAACTCCGTGAAACTCTTATCACTCCACCTATTTTTTTCTTTTACGGTATACAATTTAAGCACTGCCGATAACTTTGTAAATTTACTACATCTAGAAAACAAAGGTTTTCCAGAACTCTCAAAAAAACTTTCAAACTCTTGAGGAATTTCATTCAAATCCCCTTGCATATCACGCATTAATTCATCTAGCCGGTCATTGTCTCCATCATTTCCAACATTATCTTCATTACTTTGATCTTTCTCGACATTTTTTCTACAGTTTCTTTGATTTGTACCCTCACCAGTAGGTACAGTTTCACCATGCCATATCCACCAGTCATATCCTGGCTTAAAACCCCGACGTATCAAATGACTCTTAATTGGTTCAGAACTACGAAACTTTTTTAAATTTCTACAATCATAACAAGGACACACTATATAATTTTCACCAATTTGACTTGCATATTCCTCGACAATTTTTATAAACTCTTGAACCCCATGAACATATTCAAGTGTATTGCGTTTTTTATACATCCAACTCCGATCCATATCTCCTATAATTCATAAAAATACAATCCATAATTAATCTAAACTAAACTAAGAATACATATATTTCTTAAAAAAAATATTTATATACAAATCCATATAACAAAAACATATTTGTTATAAACATAATCAAATTCGTATGCATTTATATACATAATACACAAATTAATAAATTTAAAACATATTAATATTTAATAGGCTTACTTACTAAATTAATTTGTATAATTATAAATATACAACATATTTGTCTTTTTACTCTTTTGGGCAGAACATACTAATTAGATTATAACTTTTTTTTACTTTCGTAAAGTGTTAAAAGTTCGTGAAGGCATAACTTTTGACTCGGTTGTCTGTTTTGGACAATTTTTTTTTTTCAAATCGTGTATTTTTTCGAGATCTATCCACCGTAAACCGCCGAAGGCGGTTTGGCCCTCTAATTTCTCTAAAAAATGCTTCTTTTGCTCTTAAATTTTATTTTATTTTTTTGTAATTTCTAATATACATCTACATATATAGTATTTACATGGAAATTTATAAATATATTAAATATTATAATTCCTTAACACAGTAAACATTTTCTAACAAATATCATAACTTTGATTTATAATAACAAATAACAAATAATAATTATAACAAATAACAAATAATATTTATAACAAATTAATAAATTAAAATCATATATTAAATTTCTTATTAATTTATACTTTAATTTATAATAACAAATAACAAATAACAAATAATAATTATAAAAAATAACATATAATATTTATAACAAATTAATAAATTAAAATCATATAAAAAAACGAACCTGCGTGGGCAGCGGCGACGGCGTGGGCTGGAGACGACGACCGGTGGCGGCTAGGCTGCAGGCGACGCGGCTGGGCTGGAGACGCTGGAGACGACGAAAACCGGTGGCGGCTGGGCTGGAGACGACGACCGGTGGCGGCTGGGCTGGAGACGACGGCGATGGAGGAGTGGAGGACGACGGCTGCTCGATATGCTATGGACAACGGCGATGGTGGGTACGGAGACGACGAGCGGCGCCGACGACGAACGGAGTGGTAGTGGGGAGTTGTTTGGAGTGTTGGTGGGGAGTTCTTTGGAGTGGTGGAGGGTTTAATTTGTGTCGCGATTCTTGCTGCATCTGAAGACAATCCCGTAGAAGAAACCCTAATAATAGGAGTCCAAAGTTACACAATTTGGACGCCTATTGTTTGAGCGGTTTAATAATAGGAGTCCAAAGCTCTACAACTTTAGACGCCTATTATTTTACCTTTTAGACAGATTACTAATAGGAGTCCAAAATTGTACAACTTTGGACGCCTATTCATTTTAATATTAAAAAATAATAATAATAAAAATAAAAATTGGCATTTTAATTACAAAAATGCCACCGCATTACACTTTAGGAGTCCAAAGTTCTACTTTTGGACGCCAATAATACGATTTTATTGATATTTTCTGTACTAGTGACACATGCCTCCCAAGAAATACGTGAACCGATCACTCAGGTCACAAACTCCATAATCACGTCATGGCTACCACGAGGACCAATGCCGTACCTTGGTGACTAATGTCCCATACCATTAATCGTGCAATCCAGGTACAGCCACACACAGCACACCACAATAGGAATCAATCAACGGATCACAACGAAGATATGAAACCATACTCAATCAAGGAAAGGATCACAATACGACAACAACGATGATTAACACAAGTCATCATCCACAATAGGAAAGGACAAACAACACACACGCTAGCATTTAAACACCGAACTAGCATGCTTATCAAACGGGTAAACCGAACATAGTTCCGAAGAATACACAAGACTCATCACGGTTCAACGAATCACAATGTTGAACACTTGGCACGATTCAAGACACCAAAACCTACATGGATTCCTACCATATAGTTCTAGACATACGAAACATCAAGAAAACGCTCAAATAGTTCATCAAAAGAACATCGGGAAGTCAAAAGACCAAATACCGAGTCAAAAGAATCACGGGGAACAAATCCCCAAACACCAACATTTGTGTACCCGCGGGTGGGGCCACGGGTGGACCCCCACCCGTGGTTTCGCCTGCGGGAACCACGTTGCCCAACACTTGTACCCCGCGGGTGGGGGCGGCGGGTAGGCCACTGCTCGCCGTTCCGCTCGCGGGTACATGCCTGCACAAAAAATAATCCCTTCGCGGATTTTCAACACCAAGCTCAAATTCAATTCCAAAACATGCCAAATCTCACCAAATACAACAAAATGACTTGAATCAAAGGAATAGCCAAGCAATGGCATACATGAACCCTAATAACAAGCTCTAGATATGTATTTTCACAAGACAATGCATCCACACCCACATTTCATAGCAAAATCACATGTACAATCCAATAAATCATCATATGGGTAAGCAAAATAGATTTTGTAGAGCATGGGTTACCTCTTGAAGATTCAACCTTCACTTAACACACTACACAAAGCTCCTAACAAGGCTCCCTTTCTACACCCACTTCAAGAACACACCAAAAGATCATAAAGATTTCACCTTTAGAAAAAGATACCTTAGAAAACACTAGAAACACAAAAGAAGCATAGATTTTACCCTCCTAGATGCTCAAGAGTAGGAAAGGTGGAATCTTGGAGACAAACATTGGAGATCTTGATAACCCTCAACTTAGCTTGGGGAAAAAGCTAGCTAGATTTTTAGAGAGAAGGGAGAGCTTATGATTTGGAAAGTGTTTTGGAAGAAATGAAATGTGTCTCCTAGGTTAACTTGGAATACCATTACAAGGAAAATGTCTTCTTTACCCTTACTAAGACTAAAAGTGTAAGGGAACAAGGGAACTATTCACAAAGCTTTAGGTACAACACTTGACCTTGGGTTGACTAGTCAATTACTAGTCCCCGACTATTGAATTTTCAGGAATTTAAAGAATTAAATTACCAATTGAATTAGGATTAATTACTTAATTAATCCCTTAATTGAATTTGAATTTAGACGTATAGATACTGTTGTATCGAACTGGGTAAACAATATTTTGTGCCTTTTACTTCTGTTTGGATTAATTTCCGCACCAAATTCTTTCACTGATCTATTAAATAGTTTAAGACAGTGCTAAGTCAGTCACTCAAACAGAATCATACTGAAATATTATCTAGACAAAATATTTAACACAAATACAGAAATTACACAGTGATTAGTCCCCTCGCTGAATTGTAGGCACCTCTTTTGGGTCCTAAAACTTGTGTTATTGCTCATTTACATACCTTTCTTTTAATGCAATAATGCTCTCCCTATATATCTCATTCCTTGTGTTCTATATTTTATTAAATGTCCAGGGACACATGTATCTTCCTAGCTGATCATATTGGCTATACCTTCCCAGTCCTAGCATATCAACATATTTTGTGAAGAAGAAGGCAACTTTGACAATGGTGCATTGATTATTAATCAAACCTTTATGCGCTATAACTTGAATGCGGAAGCATATTTAACATTCAATCGCATGTAAATCAAATAAATCAACTAAACAATATTCATGATCATGGATTTTTAATTAAAACAAAAATAAAGATAAAACTTACTTGATTCAATTAGAGATGTAATCTCTAGTAGGCCGAATAAATCAAGAATTGCCTCACCTCTCTGATCTATATGCCTTAATTATCCCCTAACAATACGGACCCTAGAAAACCCTAATCACAAGAGTTTTCCTGGGTTGTGAAAGACGTAATGAGAAAAACCCTGACAGATTACTGCCCCAATGGTTGCTTAAATATTGTTGGCAGTATTTCTTAAATGCACCCAGAAAAAAAAATATTCTTAAAAGAATCCATAACCTTTTCTAACATACATCTTTTAACCCATATAAACTTAAATTTTAACAGAATGAGAGGGAAGAAATTTCATCAAGTAATTCCACCTTTATACATCACTAATCATCACGGCGAGTATCTTATGAAATTACAAACTTTATTATATGAATCAAAGTTAGAAATTAATCATTTCTAACATTGATATTTTTGGTGGATGAGTCGATGGAGGCTATATGTGCTCAAACAAAAATCACTAAAACTTCATTTCCGAAAATTGAAAGAAATTAAAAATTTCTTAGCTTTACTTGAGCTAGTGCACAGTGTTGTATGTGATTTGCATAGCACACCTACTAGAGGAGGCAAGCTTTACTTTAATTTGCAAAAAAAAATTTGGATGATTTTTTTTCTAAATTT